CTCCCCTCCCCCCGGTTGTTTTCTCGTTCCTTCCTCGCCATCCGGGGCTGAGTCATCGCCTGCTGCCGTCTCGCTGCTGACGGTCTTGGACCGAGACGGGGGGGGAGAGGAAGGGGGAAGCCGCCCCCTGCCCAAGTGCTGCCCCCCGAAGGGGTTGGAGAGAGACACACACACACACAGAGCCCGCTGCATGTGTGCTTTGGGGTCCCCCTCGCAGGGAGTGGGTCTCTGGTGTCACAGGGCACAGTGCTGTGTCCCTGCCTCGTAGTGCCACATGTGGGAGGGCAACAGATGTGGTCTTGCAAGTATCTGCCCCCTCAGCCTTCCCTTCCTAACTGCCGGCACCCCAAAAAACTCCAGGCCTCCCCCTGTTCCCTAGAGCCAGGGGCAGGCTTTGTACACAGCCCCCATCTTGGCTTTGGAGGGGAGGGGCAGGGAAGGCTGGCATCGAGGCCTTGCCCTGGGCTACCAGGCTGTGCCCCCTACCACCATTAGCACCTGTGGCACGTTCCTGGATAGTTGGGGTCCCCAAGCAGCTGGTTATGAGCAAATGCCATTGGAGCCCCCCTCGGATGCTGTGCTGACTGGCCTGTCTGTCTGTCTGTCTGTCCGTCCTAGGCTGCCTGTTTGACCGGAGGCTGTGCTCCCCCCAGGAGGTGTGTGTGCAGGGTAAGTGGTTAGCGGGGCTGCAGGAATCCCTTCTTCCTTCCCAAGGGGGTGTGGAGAGTGCAGGGCTGCTTGCAGGGGAACTTGGGCCGCAATGTGGGGGGCCATGGCAGGAGAAAGGTGGGGCTGTGCCCGCAGACCCTTGCCCCGGGGTGTTCATCCATCCGGCCCCACCACCTCCCCTCTCTTGCAGATGGGCTGTTTGGGCAGTGCCAGGTGGGCTCCGTGCAGGACAGACCCTACTTCCAGGTCACCTCTCCTGTGCTCCAGCGCCTGCAGGATGTCTTGCGGCATCTCATGGCACAAGGTGAAGGGGGGAGTGTGCAGGGACTCACTGCGGTCTGGTGGGGAGGGGGTGTCAGGCAGCAGTGCCTAGTGGCACTAGGGCTGTCTGGGGTCCTGCTGGCCCAGGGGCCAGGGTGGGCTGAGAGGGGTCCGGCTGATTCTGGGAGGATCAGGGCCAAACGTGGGCCATGAGACACAGGGTGAGGACACCAGGGCAGCTTCCTGTGCACTCACCCCTCGGTCCCCAGGCCTCCTCTGTGTCTCACAGCCCCCTCCTGTGGCAGGGCTCTCGTGGCAGGATGGCATCACCCAGTATGTGATCTCGCAGGAGATGGAGCGCATCCCCCGCCTCCGCCTGCCGCCATCACTGGAGCCGGTGGCCAGGGACAGGTAAGGCAGCACCAGTCGCCAGCCTGTGAGCAGAGCCCAGCAGGGCAGCAAGGGCTTTGCCCCCCCAAATGGGGTTTTGGGGGGGACCTCCCCCTTACCCAGGTGAGTTACCCTGGCACTGTTTGCCTCTGAGGTTCCTGCCCCTCCGTGGCTCCCCCCGGCGAGCCCCGCTCCCCGTGGACACCGGCCTGCCAGCGGCTCAGCATCTGGGACAACCTCCGCCGCTGCTGCCCTCCCCCCTGGTGCAGTGGTACCTGGAGCACCTCTTGCTGCCCCAGCCACCCCAGCTGGGCTACGAGGAGGGTCTGCTCAACCCCTACTCCTACCACAAGGTAAGCCATGGGGGCGAGCCCCCTTCTCCCAGGAGGAAAGGTAGAGATGGGCAGGGGGTTGCTGCACTCCCAGCACCCTCCTTCTGCTGGTGCTGGGGTGCCCCTCTGTCTCTGGGGTGCCCTGCCATGGGGTGGCAGGGGCCCTGTGGGGTTTGACCATGGCAGCTCTGTGTTTTGGTTGCAGTTCGGCTACCAGGATGGCGCTCACCAGCTCCCCGGCAGCTCTGGCAGGCAGAGCCCTGAGACCTCCTCGCTGCTGGGCCGGGTCCCTGCCCAGGCCCTTTTTGGGGCCAGCTCTGTGCCCTCCTATGGTGGGCAGCCAGGAACGGACGGGGCCCATCTCTTCCAAGACTTAGGCATGCTTTCCCTGCCCAGAGAGAAAGCCAGCCGCCCAGACCCTGCCAGCACCAGGCTACAGCACAGCTTGCAACTCCCTGGTGACTACAGAGACATGGAGGAGAGGGAGCGGCCAGTGCCCCTGGCTGCCCAGCCACCCCCTGCACAGACGGGTACCATGTCCTCCAGCCAGGCACCAGCCCTCATCCCCATCCTGTCCCCACAGCCACATTCCTCGTGGTTCACACTCTCCCTCCTCTTTGGCTTTGTGGCTGTGGGCAGCATATCCCCTCAACCCCACCTGCTCCTGCTGCTGCGTCCCCAGCCCGTGTTCCCTTGTGTGGATGCAGAGCATCCGACCTGATGCTGCATCCTCTTGCAGACGCTGCCCTGAAGAGACTGGCCTCCCTCCTGGCCAGCTATGGCCTGGGGCTGCCAGAGCTGAGTCCCCAGCAGCTGAGCAGCCTCTCTACCTTCCTCCAGCTGCTCCAGAGCTCTGGTGAGTAGGGTGCAGGGATGGGGCAGGCAGGCACTGGCAGCAGTGGGTGCCAGCATGCCCTATTTCAGGTAGGGGGTGTTGCGTCTCAGGGCAGGTGCTGCAGGACCTCTGTCTCTCTCCTTCCCAGGTGTTGCTGGCCCCGAAGTGCCCACAGCAAAACGGGTGGGTTTGCAGCAGGGTGGTGCTGGAGGAGGTGCCACGCCGCAGGTGGGATGGGGGGGTGGGGATGCAGCCCCCCAGGGCTCTCCTCAGAGATCCCAGCTCCTCCCTTTCCCTTCCTCCAGGTGACGGAGGGGGACATGCAGCACGCAGAGGAGCCAGTGCCCCCTTCCTCCACGGTGCCGCCCCCCAAAATCCCAGCCAGCAGCTCCCCAGGGGATGGGCCGAGGGGCAGGGCAGCGTCCTCGCCAGCCCCCTGGGCCGAGCCGCAGCAGGGACACGGCGGGGACGTGCTCAGCCCTGGGAAGCCGATCATGGTGGAGAAGAAGAGCTACACAGAGGCGAAGGATGGTGGGGCGCAGCAGGGCACACGGCCACCGGACGAGTATGGCTACATCGTCACGGACCAGAAGTGAGAGCTGGGGGTCGGGTGAGGGGGTGTTCATGTGTGGAGGGTCTGTATCCCCCCCGCACCAGCTGTCATGGCTCCCTGTGCTCAGCTGAGCCTGTTTGGGTCTGTGGTAGGGTCAGGTCTCCAGTGGGGTCAGCTTCCCTGTCCCCTCTCCACCTGCAGCCCTTGTCCTACCCCAAAACCTTCCTCTCAGCCCACACCAAAGCCAGAGCTCGCTACTGCAGGACGGGAGGCTGGGACAGGCTCAGCCAAGCATGTTCGCACAGCTGCCTCTGTGCATGCTGGTGTGCAAGGATGGGGGGGGTCAACTCACCCCCATCAACGCACATCCCCATGCTCTTACCTCCTGCCCACCCTGTGACACCCCTGCAGGCAGCACAGCCCTTGCTGCATGCATGGGACTCCCTGAGCCTGCCTGTCCCCCCTTCCCCAGCTGCGGGGAGAGTGGGCTCTTGCCTCAACCCCGCTGCCCACTCTTCACCCTGCCACTGTCCCCACAGGCCCCTGGGCCTGGCCGCTGGCGTGCGGCTGCTGGAGCTCCTCGCCAAGCACCTCCACCTCTCCACAGCCAGCTTCATCAACATCAGGTGAGGGGAGCGGGGCTGTAGGGTGCTGCTGTCACAGCAGGGGCACAGGGCAGGGGGCCGGGAGGGACTGGGCTGTGGTGGGGATGGGGAGGGGGTCTGTTCTTCCTGGTCTCACGCTGTGTCCCCCGCTCCCTGGCAGTGTGGTGGGCCCTGCGCTCACCTTCCGCATCCGGCAGAACCCCCAGAACCTCTCTCTGGCAGACGTGGCCAGCCAGGCTGGTGAGTTGGGCAAGGGTCCCGCTGGTCCTGCTCCTCTCTTCCGCCCCCCCGCCCAGTTGTGGGGTGCCCCTTCCCAGGGACTAGGAGGAGGGGGCTCCCACTGTACATCCCAGTGCCCTTGGCTGAACCGGGCAGCTGTCGTGGGGTGGGCAGCTGCCAGGGGTATCCCTTGGCTCTGTCTCTTGGGGGGTGTCTCTTGGGTGGAGGGGAAGCACCCCTCTGACCATCTCCTCTCCATCCATAGAGCAAGTGAAGGCAGAGCTGGAGACAGAGCTGGGCCTGAAGATCGTGCAAACAGGAGTGGGAGAGGTAGGAGTGAGCGTGGCCGTCCCTCAGGGCTAGGGCAGCCGGGGACAGGGCAGTGGGGGTGCTGCCGCCAGGTACGAGCTGGGAAGCGCGCTGTGCCGCAGCCGTGGGGCTCAGGGGTCTTTGTAAGCAAGCTGTCCATGTGGGTCTGAGGGGTAGCTGAGGAGCAGAGGGCTCTAGGCAGTGTTTGGGCTGCTGTCTTGGAGACAGACTTGGGTTATCTGGGATGGGCCGGAGCAGGACTGCTCCAGTGACCCCCTTCCACCCAGCAATGTGATGTTGCCCACCTGCCTGCACTCTCAGGGCACTCAGCTCTTTCCAAAACAAAAGCTCCACAGGGTTTGAAGGCAGTTTGGGAGGGTCTCCTGGCGGCTTTCCCCCCTGCATCTAAGACCGGGGGGCTGCAGGCTGCACCCCACAGGGCTTATCCTCACCCTCGCCTCCCTCCAGCCTGTGCACCCCATCTTAGCTGTGGCCTGGGCACCCCCATGCTGGGCTGTGCTCATAGCACTGCAGAGACCGTGGCTAGGCAGGCAAAATGCCATCGTGTCCCCAGAGAATGGCAAAGCAGCTGAAGGCAGGAGTGGAGCAGGAGCCATCTGCTTGGAGAGGGGCAGCCCCTCCCCGTGCTCCTCTGGGGACCCCCAGGAACAGTCTCCTGGGGGAGAAGCAGGGGCTAGAGATGGGGGACTGAGCCTGCCTCCTGTGTTTGCAGCCTGGGGAGGGGAAGTGGTGCAGCACCTCCCCAAACCGGGGTCCCTGTTCCCCACCCTCCTGCTCTGTGGCCGCAGCCGTGGGCAAGGAGGAAGGAAGGGGGGGGACCTTGGAGGAGGAGGAGGCCATGGAAGAGGGGTGGCCTGGCCACCGAGGCAACCCATCTCCCTCAGCAACATGTGGAGCGTCGCTATGGCAATGCCTTTTGATGTGACGAGTGGCAGGAGCTGGGAGAGATGGCAGAGATGAGGGAGCTGGAGCTCAGAGGAGGCTGTGGCAGCTTTGCGAGCCCTCTTCTGCACAGATGTCCCCAGCCCAGACCAGCTTGTGCTTTTCCTTCATTCCACCTCCAGGCTCTGAACTTGGTGGGACTGCTGCAAGATTTGGGGAAGGAGTGACACAGAGGCAGGGGGACAGCAGTGCCCGGGCAGCCCTTGGGAGGGAGGTCCCTTCTGTCCCCACTGCCCCGCTGACGTCTCCAGACCTTCTGAAACCTGCAGGGCTGCTCCTGCTTGGGTGCCCCCAGGACCTGGGAGGTGCTGGTCCTGGCGGGTACCCCTGGCTGCAGGGCTGGCTGGGCCCTGGCAGCAGTCACACTGGCCCACGGGCACAGGGGCTGGCAATGCTGGGGGGGGGCAGGTGACAAGGGGACCCCTGGGGCAGGGGCATCCCCAGGCGGTGATGATGATGAAGTAGGTGATGATGACGCAGTGTTCCCTCAGTAACCTCATCAGGCTCATAGCCAATGGGAGGCCGTGGCAGTGAGGTAATGCTGGGTTCTGGCACCTCATTGGGTACAGGGTATTTGGTGGTGGTGATGCCCCACCATCCCTGTGCTGCCCCAAGACCTGGCTGTGGGGGAGCAGCATCCTGATCACCAGCGGCTCTGGGACAAGGCCCTGGTGGGGGTCTTGGCCCTGGGGGGGTCTTGGCCTTGGGGGGAATCTCATCCAGCAAGGGCTCAGCACCATCCTGTCCCAGCATGGGACTGGCACGCATTGGGCTGTGCCTCCCAGCCACAGGGAAGGAGCCCTGGAGGCCCTGCCTGCAAGGTGGCAGGGGCTGCTCTGCATCCCAGCTGAGGAGAGTGATGGGGAGGACCTGTCCCCCAGCCACCACAGCTGGGATGGCACCAGCCCTCTGGCAGTGCTGGCACATTCCCCCATGGTCTGCCATGGAGCAGTGGCTGCAGGGGAGAGCCAGCCCCATCTGGGGAAGTTCCCTGGTGGCAGCAATTGCTGCCCTGGACCCAGCGCTGCAGTGGCCCATCCTTTGCCATTAACCCCTTGGGCTGAATCTGGCCCTCCTTGACCTCCAGCTGGGCAGGAGCCCATTGAACCCGAGTTCCATGGAACTACGACCTGCCCTGGAGGGGGGCAGCCCGGGCTGGGGCTGTCCCGGGGAGCAGTCCTGGGTGCTGGGAGTAGGGGAGCAGCAGGTTGCGGCTGCCTGGGCTTGGCCAGGCTCTGTCCCCTCCCACAGCTCCAGGGACACACCAGTGTGAGCAACATCCCATGCGACATGCAGGTGGGTGTACCGTGCCTCACCCTAGTGACACCCAGCACCCCAGTGACACCAGCTCCACCCCAGCTGAGGGTGGTGGGAGAATCAGCACAGCACCGAGTTCCCTTGCTCTGTTTTAGCCCCCAACAACCCCAAATGTGGTGCAGAATAGAGTCGATGCCCCCCTGCTAACCCTTGCTTGGCTCTGCCCACAGCGAAACGAGGCTGCTGCCTACTCGCGCCCATCCCACTTTGGGGACAGCTTCCACTCAGTGCTGCTGACCTTCATCGCACTGGCCTGTGTGGCAGGAATCGCCATCGCGGCCGCCGTGGCCTTCTGCCTCCGGCGCCATGCGAAGCAGCGGGAGAAGGAGCGCCTGGCCGCCCTGGGGCCCGAGGGTGCTGCTGACACCACCTTCGAGTACCAGGTAGGACCCCACAGGATGCGGGACCCTGCGGGATGTGGCACCTGCTGCATCAGCATCACTCAGGGTGCACAGGGCTGCCCTGCGGCAGTGCTGTGCCAAAGGGACAGGGCTCTTCATGGGGTTCCCCAGGAGCTGTGCCGCCAGCACATGGCTGCCAAGTCTCTCTTTGGCCGTGCTGAGGCACCAGCAGCACCGGCAGAGACCTCGCGGGTCAGCAGCGTCTCGTCCCAGTTCAGCGATGCCCCGCAGCCCAGCCCCAGCTCCCACAGCAGCACGCCCTCCTGGTGTGAGGAGCCCGTCCAGTCCAACATGGACATCTCCACTGGACACATGATCCTGGTGAGCTGGCCTGGTGGGGTGGCAGCTCCCCTTCCTGGCCCCCCATGTACCCCCAGGCTGCTGGGCTGACCCCCACCCCTCTGCCCTAGGCCTATATGGAGGACCACCTCCGCAACCGGGACCGGCTAGCCAAGGAGTGGCAGGCTCTCTGTGCCTACCAGGCTGAGCCCAGTATCTGCTCCATTGCCCAGAGTGAAGCCAACCTGAAGAAGAACCGCAACCCCGACTATGTGCCCTGTGAGCATCCCAGCCACCCTGCCCCAGGGACCGGCTCCCAGGGCCATGGCAGGAGGGCGGTGTGGGGCACGGGGATGCTTGCGGCCACAGCAGGCTGCGGCACGGGTTTGCCCCCAGCTCCCCTGGGCACTCGTCACATCCCCTGGCCTCCGTTTTCCCAGATGACCACGTGCGGATCAAGCTGAAAGCTGAGAGCAACCCGTCCCGCAGCGACTTCATCAATGCCAGTCCGATCGTGAGTGATCACTGGGGGCTCCTGCCCACCCACCCCGCTCTGTGATGTGCTCAGCCCAGGCGAGGCTCCCGCTCTGGGATGGAGCTGGACTGAGCTCGCATCCCCGTGGGCTACAGATGTGAGCAATGTGCCTGCCCCATTGCTCAGATATGGTTAAAACCCATTTCCCTCCTGGCTGTGGCACCCAAAGTTCTCTCCCCAGCCTTCCCATCACCCCTGATGTATCCCCCTGCTCCTCCCAGTGTCACTGACCCCTGGCCAAGGAGCGTGCGGTCTGACATTCCCTTTCCCGCTCCAGATCGAGCATGACCCACGGATGCCAGCATACATCGCCACACAGGGGCCGCTGTCCCACACTATTGCTGACTTCTGGCAGGTGAGCATCACCCAGCTGTGCCAGCCCATCGGGGTCCCTCTGGGTGCTGCCAACCAGATGGGTCACTGCGGCTTGGCTGCCCTCCTGCCTGGGCTGTCACCCAGCAGTGACACCCCCCATGCCTTGCCTGCAGATGGTGTGGGAGCATGGCTGTACCGTTATCGTCATGCTAAGCCCACTGGCTGAGGACAGTGTCAAGCAGTGTGACCGCTACTGGCCAGACGAAGGCTCCTCTCTCTACCACATCTACGAGGCAAGTGTGACCGGTAGCCTGTGGGAAGGAGCATCCTCCAGCTGCTGTCCCACTGAGTGAGTGCAGCCCCCTGCCTGGTGCTGACACCCACTGGCTGCTTCTCTTGGGCAGGTGAACCTGGTGTCGGAGCACATCTGGTGTGAGGATTTCCTGGTGCGCAGCTTCTACCTGAAGAACGTGCAGTCGCAGGAGACCCGCACCCTGACGCAGTTCCACTTCCTTAGCTGGCCGGCCGAGGGCATCCCCGCCACCACCCGGCCCCTCCTCGACTTCCGCAGGTGAGTGCCCCCCTGGTGCCATGCCAGCCCCCGGGAAGCCAGCGGTGTTCCCGACCTCAGGGGACTGATGGGCGAGGACATCGCTGCCGGTGTGATGAGGGTCAGGGACGTGGCATGGACTGGCTGGGGGGGACGGGGGGCTGCCGTGCATGGGGAGGAGCAGAAGAACCAGATTCTGGCCAGCTTGGAATGAGGGTCAGCGGAGCTTGGTGGGCAAGAGCCCTCCAGGCTGAGGTTGCCAGGGCTCTCCAGCCTTCATGGGGAGGGTGGAAAAGTGCTCTTCCCCAGAGCTGGCATGGGGGACAGTACTGGCTGGCACCCTCCTCAGCTGTGGGTACAAGAAGAAACCCCCGGAGCCAGCCTTGAACAGCTGTAACCCATTGCCCCCCATGCCCTACAGCCAGCAGCAGGTCCCCAGCTGGCCTGGGGAGAGGGCTGCGGGGCTGGGACTGCTCCCAAGAGGGCTGCGGGCAGTGCCCGCTGGGTTCTCGGGGTCCCTGGGTGGTGGTGGGCTCCTGCCGGGGGTTGGCCGGTCACTGTCCCCCAGTTGCGTGGGGCCAGGGACCCTGCTTAGAGCAGTGGGGGGTCCCTGAGCACATTGCTCTCCTCTCCGCCCTGCTCATGCTCTCTCTGTCTCTCTGTCTGTCTCTGTCTCTCTCTCGCAGCTGCCAGTGTCATTTTTGTGATTTGCAGCTAGTAATCTGGCTCCAGTTGCATAGTCACAAAAGTGATCGTTGGCAGCCGTGCCTGCTGCATGGAGCATGCCGGGAGCCCCACCGGCGCCTGGCCCCCAGCTTCGCGCCCCACCGGACCAGAGCTGCTCCCTTGGGGGTCCTGTCACTGCTCCCCTCCCTGGGCTGGGCACCCAAGGAGCCAGGCTCCTCTCCCTGCCATGGTCCCTTTCCAGCCATGGCCCCCATCCCGTGCCCAGCACCGCTGGGGAGGCAGGAGGAGCTATGTGCTGGACCCCTAGGGCCACATCATCGGGTGTCCGCTGCCCTCCCCCGGCTTGGCCCAGCGAGGAGCACCTAGTGCAACCTTGTCCCTGGCATGGCAGGGCACTGACCTTGCTCCCTCTTATCCTTGTAGGAAGGTGAACAAGTGCTACCGGGGTCGCTCCTGCCCTATTATCGTGCACTGCAGGTACTGCCGGGGAGGGTATGGGCTGGGGGGTGGCTGCAAGGCTGGGACCTGCTAGCCAGCACCAGTCAGTCCCTGGAGCCCGTCCACCTGGTCCAAGCGTCTCTGTCTTGCAGTGATGGTGCAGGCAGGACTGGGACGTACATCCTCGTCGACATGGTCCTGAACCGAATGGCCAAAGGTAGGTGCAGGGCAGCACTGCTTCTGCCCTGTCCAGAGGGTGCAGGGCCATGTGCTTGACCTGTGGATCCCCCCTCCTAACACCCTTTTTCCCCCTCTGCCCCAGGTGTAAAGGAGATAGACATAGCTGCTACGCTGGAGCACATCAGAGACCAGCGGCCCGGCATGGTGCAGACCAAGGTCCCCCCCCCCCCCCAAAACTGGGGATCCCCTCCCTCCCTGAGCACACACAGCCCCTCGGGCTGGGCTGGTGAGGACCCTCATGCCCCCCTGCTTTGCTCCCCCAGGACCAGTTTGAGTTTGCGCTGACAGCTGTGGCCGAGGAAGTGAACGCCATCCTGAAGGCGCTGCCACAGTGATGGCAAGGAGCCCTCCCCTCTTGTCTTCCCCCATGCCCCCCTGGCTTTGCGCGCTCTCCTCGCCCTGCCCGTGGGGCTGCTCTCCCTGTAAAGTGCTGTCTGTGCTGCTGGCTCTGTTTCCCCCCACCCCCCCCAGCCCCCCCTGCCCTCCCTCCCCAGGGCCGCAGGGCTCAGCCCCTCTGCGTGCAGGGCACAGAACCCTATCGCACCCCATGCGCTGCAGAGGGGACTGGGCTCATGTCCCCTGCAGAGGAGGGGACCAGGTGATGCTGCTGGGAGTTGGCTGTAGGCCCCCCCCCAACCACTCTCCTGCACCCCAACCTGGTGGTCCTGTGTCAGCTCCCTCCCTGTGCCCACGTTGGGGGCAGGAGTGGGCAGGGGCTACCCTATGGTTGGGGAGAGCACTGGATGCAGGGGGGCCTGGCCCAGCCCTAGGTCCCCTCCATGTGCTCCCTGCCTCGTCACTCGAGCAGAAGAAAAATTTCTAGAGAAATATAATTTTGTATCTTGATGTGAATAAAGTTCTCGTGTCGCGTTTGTGCAGCTGCAGCCAGGCCTAGCCTCTGACTGTGTGTGTATGGGGGGGCACAGGGAGACCCCCATCCCTGCAGAACAGCCTGCACCTTCCAACCACCAGACAAGTGCAGTTGGGCCTGGGTCCCCCCTGCATGCAGGCAAGGATGGCGGGGAGGTGGAAAGGTCCTGCAGTGCCCAGCCCAGAGACACCCTGCAGGCAGCAGCTACTGCAAACAGGTTTATTGACGGCTGTCAGCAGAAGGGGGTCAGGGAGGGGGGGCTACAGCAAGGAGGGGGGCAGAGCCCAGCCCTGCTGGCTGAGCCCAGCCATGCTGCCCCTCGCTGCTTCCCACCAGCACTCCCCTAGAAGCCTAATCTACAGCAACCCCTCTCCAGCCCCCTCCCCTCCAGCCACCCATCACCACCCTCCCCACCACCTTGTGGTGCCCGGGGCATCTCCCCCCCAACCCCGGGTATTGCTCGGCTATAAGCCCTGTCGTGCCCCCC